TGTAATACATATTGACTTAAGTCCCATCATTGTGTCGAATACAATGTAAATCCTGTTGTCTTAATAAGCAGTAAAATTGCATGCTCTATGTAAGTAAATATTTCATTGCAAAAACTATTTACAGAAAAACAAAAAAAATAAAATGTATATTAAAAGATTTTATATGGTGCATCCACTGCATGCATAAAAACCCCATAAAAACCCCATGTGCTCTTTTTTTGATAACTTTGCCATAGTTTTTTGCATGTTAAAAATCATGAATAATTCAAGGGACTTGCCATGATTATTTAGTTACCGCTTTTATTGTTATTGTTGGTGTTGTAGTCAATGACTTGCATGCTAAAAAGCAACAAATCGTCTGGCAACACTGTTGCGATAGCCGATTTAAATGCTCTTTAGACAACTGCCTACCTACCTAAGTTAAACTCCAATATAACCTTTTTACTTTATTTATATTTTTTATTTTTTTTAAATTATTTTTTATTTTTATAAATGAAATACAAATACGAAATATAAAAAAGCTTTTCATTGTAAACATAACAATCCCTAATAAAACACTTTGCATACTTTTGTGCGCTATCCGCACTTTACTTGCTTTTTTCGTAGATAACGCCATTTTTTGTATATGAAAATCTATTGATTGATGCATACGCGGCATTAATTTTTTTTTGCTTTCTCTGAATTCTATTATTTGTTGTTGTTGTTGTTTGTAAACATTTCATTAATGTTTTTTTTTTCTTTGGTAGGTTTGTAGACCTTCTCAAATTTAATATTTCCTGCAAAACTTTTCGACGTTGATTAATTTTTGAAATGAATGTCAAAATGTTGCAAATTATTTAGCATATTTTGATGAGGATCCCATGATGCTGATTTGCATGGGAAGGCAATCTGCAGCTTCATCCTTGTTTATCGAAGAGTTTTTGTTTAGAAAAATAAAAGAAAAAATGTATTAAGAAAAGATTTTGCCAGAATATTAATAAATATTTATAAATTTGTTTACGTTGCAAAACCAAAAAAAAAAAATATTGATAAAACATCTCTTAAAGAAAGGAAACAAAACAAAATATTTACAAGCACGTACGGAGCATGGAAATTATTTTTAGGAAAGAAGGAGCATTAATAATGTTCAATATAAAGAAAGTAGTACGTTTAATATTTTGGAATAAAAATTTTAATGGTTTTTAATAAAATATTAACTTCTCATTGGAACAATATATAAATAATAGGCAAAAAAAAAAAAATTAATATGTTAGTTTTGTCTTTGACGAAGCTTAGACATCCTATATACAAGTATTGTAAGAATATCCTTTAAATATCCCCATTCTGTTAGTAAGCGAACCTATATTTTTATTATTAAATCACGAGTCGTATTTTAAGAAGTTTCGAATTTAAAGTGTTTATATCAAAAAAATACAAAAGTTTTTCAAACAAACCCAGTTGTTCAAATCTGTAATTAATATCGGTAGCTACATTAAAATTTGAGCATAAGATATAATGATGAACTCGGTAAACTGATGGAAGGTGTCACAATTTTCAAACTCATAAAAAATAACGCTTGAAGTGGGTAAAACATGTTGTTTGAATGCCAGAAGAAAGAGCAGCAGCTATAATATTCGAGAGTGAAGTAAGTACAACGCGAGGAAAAGGAAGACTGAGAAAAAGATAGAGTAACAGTGTTCGACAAGATCTGAGAGATATGAATGTCATAAATTTAGATAAAAGCCAAATATAAAGAAAAATGGACGAATATCATAAAACAAGCTTATCATGGTATCAATGGTATCCAAATCTGAACTGATATGAATAAAAATTTAATACATTTGTTTAAACAAAAATAAGAATATTTTTTACCAAAATTGATATGTATATTTTTATTAAAAACAGAAAAAAATTATATCCGATTATTCAGTTAATAAGACAGCTATAGGATATAAGAGTCCGACTTCGGCCAAATCGGTAAATGATTAAAGTCTACTACCAAAAACATGTACATAAATTAAGTAAATTATTAAATTAAATAATTAAATTTCAAATGGTACACTACCATTTCTTTACCGGAAGTGAAATACAAAAACAAACAAGCGCCGTCTCATCATTTTCTATCAAGAGAGATGTGTGAGTGTTCATACGCTCGTCTACAACCGACTATTTGAACATTCAAAAAAATCGAATTGATGGATCATCTGTCATACAGTCCTGATTTGGTAGCCAATGACTTCTTATTGTTCCCGAACGTCAAGAATAAATAGCGTGAACAACGATTTTTGTCAGTGGAAGAAGTCGTTGTTGCATTTAAACACCATTTTTTAAAGGTGTATGAAGATGATTGGAACTCATGCAAGACTACCATAAAGGAGCATATTTTGAGAAACAATAAAGCAATTTTAAACGACAATTTAGAATTTTTTCATTATTAGGCTGAAAATATAAATAGTGACTCTTGTGCAATTTTTTTTTATGTATGAGAAGAAAAGGTTTTTCTGGACAAAACCAATTTATTCTATTTAAGTAAGTCTACTGCTGGCTTAATATAGCGATTTGCATGATCTAAAAAGAAACCAAATGAGTGTTTCAGACCATGGGTGGGGTTAATCTATAGAAAGTCAGTATAAGATCTGCCATTAGATTCAACGGCCACAAAGCATATTTTTCCTATCTACGCGCTTGTTTTGTCTTTGTTTGGAAATAGACAACTGCCGTATAAATACTTATTTTTAGAAAATCTTATTTGCTTTCGAGAACATCTAGCACACAATATGGAAAAATAAAACATCAAATCTTAGTTGTTTTGAATTTTAAATTCAAGCAATATCAAACCGCATTCATTTGAAAGTGGGAAATGTAATCACTGATTTTATAATTACAAATCACCCTCGGATAAACATATATTTAATAGGATGCCTGTGGTTATACAAAATACAAAATTGAACAAAATTGAACTTCTACTACTTTTGGTAACATATATCATATATATCTACTTCATTATATTAACAAACAAGCAAATAAAAAAATCAATCCAAAAATATATACAATTTTGTCACATCCCATCAAAAAAATATCTTTGTACTTATTATAAGTAAGAAGAGGAAATTTTATCTCACATCATATTTTGACACTAATTTCAACCAATCAAGTATTTTACATTGATGTCTGTAACAAAAAGATAAAAAAGAACCTTAACAATTGATTATCAGACTAAAAGACAGATTTGTCTATGGAGACCCACAGAGTTGTCAGCCACACGCTTAGCATATCAAGATATCTGCGTAAGCAAATAGAAGCTCGGGGTACTACATTTTTCAATTGAAATTCAAAAGTTGAAAATAATGCATGAATTGATATTTTCAAAGATACTCGAGTATAAAAATACAAACAAGAAATTTAAAAACGGGAAGAGTTTCGTCGCAATCTGCTGCTCCGCTGATTTATTTGATATCAGAATTCAGATGAAATTCTTCAAAAGATGTTTGCTTAGCGGGAAAACAATCAGAAACTTAATCAACTGTTAATATGTGAAAATGTGCTGTCAGCTCATCGCATTTGGTTGATTTACGGCAAACGCATAAAGGAACTTTAATTTGACTGCTTTGATGAAAATTTATGGCTTCAATTTTAAAGAATGTGAAAAAAACCCATAAATATATTGAAAGTTGACAACCAAATTTGTAAAAAAAGAAAATAAATTAAACAATTTTATTACATATGAAATAAGTTCAATCTATATAATTAAACAAAATTAAAAAATTTAATTTTTAAATTATAATCTGAATAGGTTTACAACTGATTCTTTATTAAGACGGAGATTATGAGAATACCTATTAGGTGTTTACTACTAGGAGGTATTTTCAAATCCAAATGAAGAACTCTAGATGAATAAGAAATACCCATAATGATTACCTTCAAAATCCTGAATATCCTTCTTTATAAACTGTTTTGGTATGATGAACCGTTTCGGTATGTTAGAGCTAAACGTCTTCTAGTATGTTAAACAAATGACAGTATATCTAAACTTGTATGTTTTTTTTCCCACATTACTTCATCATATACAGCGCTAATTTCACTATAATTCACACAATTGTTTCTCATCTTCTTTTTTGATATTCGGTAATATTTTTTTTTGTTTTGTAGTAGATAGAAAGCATCAAAAGCCACAATGTAAGACTTGAACCCATTGAATCCACCTTTTAGGAATGAATGGAGAAGATTTTTATAGCGATGTGGAAACATCATTTGGGGGAGGGGGAGATTGTGTGGTCGGTTGAGGTATGGTCGGGTGAGTGTCAGGGGGTACTCGTTGAAGCCAGTGACTTTGACTGTGTTGTAAAGGGCAGTGTCATGACAGTGCTTGCAGTTTGTGTGCTTACGTAGGAGCTTGCGCTCGAAGAGACGGACTCTTCTCATCTGGCCGGAGGTGATTGCACACCAAATAGGGAAGGTGTACTTAAGGAGGGAGCGAATGAGCTGATTATAGCATTTAAGTTGGTTGTGCCTTCGAAGAGCATTTAGTTGAGTTTGACTGAACCGAGCGTTATGATCAGTAATATTCCCATCTTATTCACATTATCTAACTTTAGAAAGGAATTTCGAACAATGTACTAGTTGCAAGCTTATGAGGGCAAGATGTTAATTTTTAAACAAAAATCCTAAAATATTTAAAAGATAACAGATTTGGTAAATATTCAATATTCTTATCCCTCAATTTCTCCGCTTTCTACATGCGATGAAATATATTGTATATATTTTATATAGCACATTGGGATTTACAATTTTTTCTTTTGCTAGACTTATTTCAACAAGATGTCCCTAAACCATAAATATGGTTTTAAACAATCTTCTATCTCTAACATTATACGAATGATTCTGCAGCAGTAAGTGTTTGATCTCATTTATATTAAGGTATTGTCAAATGCTAACATACATACAAATATTATACTTAGTTTTGCTAGCATATTGATATCATAAAAAGCATATAATTTTTCTTAATTGATAATTTTGGATAATAATTTCATTTATTTAGTTAGATATTTTAGAAATTTTTGTACAGCATTTATGATATTATAAACTACATGTAATAATTACGTGGTGGTGGAAAAAGATCTGGATTTATATTTGTATTTGAATTTACAGGTGGAAATAAGTCTGGGTTTGGGTTTTGATTTCCATTTGGATTTGGACTTGGTAAAGGAAGTGGTGGACCAAATGGGTGATCTGGATCAAAACGAAATTCTGGCCCAAAATCTGGATGTAAAGGAAATGGTATTAAATTGCCAGGACCACCATACGGAAAATGATTTAAATCTTCACGATCAATATCTAAAGGATGTAGCAGATGGCCCGAATCAATATCTGCTAAGTTCCTGTTAAAAATAAAAAAGTAAAGTTGTAGAAGAAATATATAACGATTATTAATTGTTTTAGTCCAAGTTTATAACACAATAGATATGGATTATTTAGTTCATCTTACCTATGAGAATCACTTATGGCGTAAGTACTTATAGAACTACTTGGCTGGGGATCAGTCTGTAGGGATTTATTTCTTTTATTGGTTTTAAAGACCTTAAAAAGGATATTTCAATATATGTGCAATATAATCATAAATTTATTGAAGACTAACGGGATCTATTAATTCTCTGTTGTACCGTTTGCTTATAAAGTTTGCTTGTGGAATTAGTTGATATAAATCGAGCACTTCTGTAGTTTTTACTAATGAATCTGGGTGTAAATTAATATTGGAAACTATTTTGGAATCGGCAATAAGTAAATTTATTATAAGACTTTCTTCAGATATGTGACCCAATAGCAAATATAATTGATTATATACCAAATATCTTAAGGAATATTTAAACTCATCTTGATTCCAATCAATCGGTAATAATTCGGATCCCTCTTCTTCGTCAGAAAATGTCATCTATTGAATTGATATTCCGGTTAACGTGAATGTTATATAAAATATAAATGGTTACGGCTTACCTTATCACCATTACCGAGGCATCGAAAATTTAGATGCTTTGCTAATATAAAATGTGCCTAAATTCAAAATAATATATATTTGGTAATTTAATTTTAATAATATTATATTTATATGAGTATATGTACGTATAGAGTGAAATTATTTAAAATATATTAGGAAGTAGATGAGATAAAAGTGAATAACCCAATATGGTAGTGAAGCAAATGCGAAGTGCAGCTTCGATAAACAAGTTCACCTAAAAATTTTTTTTCTAGAAATAAGTACGGTTCTAGCAATATGAATCCATGAATTTTTTCGGATATGTTCAATATAAAGTAAAGTAAAATCATTAAAGTAATAGAGTATGCAAAAAAAAATAGTTCAGTATATGTAAAGTGCTTTCTTAATTTACTAACCAGTGCTATAAGAACATCTGATTTTTTGTTAACTTCCCTAATAATGGTGTTATAAAACAAATTCCAACCAAAGAAATAGTCTTCATTAGGCCCTGAAGATGTGGAAGAAGCCATTTTGTATTGCTTCCAGTTTTACAGCTTCATTACCGCAGATTATTTTTAGAATATAAATGCTGTACAAAAATTTCGATACTTAAATTTAGAAAAAATGTTATTTTCGAAACAGTCCCAAAATAAAAATACTTAAAATTTAGAAAAACAAACACAAAAAATTTAAAATTTTTACTAAATATTTTATGGTTTTTTAAATAAAATTTTTTATCGACATTATCTTGCAACGCTTACTATGATTTGTTTTCCAGCCCATGCCAGTTTTAATTATCTGAACATCACAAATAGCAGTAAGAATTATATAGATGTTACGATGATTAAAAGGAAGATCCATCTGGAATTAATTATAACTGAATCTACAGCAGTCATAGGAATTAGTTAAGTGTATTATTAAGTATCTGAAACTTAAACAAGACCTACAAAAAAATCCACTCTCGCTGATTTCCATACAGTTTTACACAATACCACGATGTCAGTGGCATTTATTCGAAAGAACTGAACCCGCATCATCTTTATCATCAGAGTCTGATTTTTGCTTCTTTTTCTCATTCTTGGCTTCTTTCTTTTCACTTCCGGTTGCGGCAACTAGAGCACCGATGTCAATTCCTTTTTACAACTCTGATCAAACATTCTGCGTCAACTTCAATATTAACACAACTGAGAATTTGTCAGGATGTGCAATCCTATAGATTTGTACACTTTAAGAACGCTGGCTGTTATAAAATATGTTATTACATTTTCTAGTTCTAGCTGCAGTGGCAATATATGAGCCATCTCTGTCCACATCAGAAATTAATCGTGGATCAAACCGCGACCATAACTAACAAAAATTAAAAGAGATTTTGAACACAAGGTTCGCAATTTTGTCAATTAATGTTTCAATTTTTCTGTTACATATGCTAGCCGACCTTCTAAAGCAGAGTTGTTTTAAATCAACTATACAGAATATTAATGAATCATTTATACTTCAATACTAGTTCGGGTGTACCGCGACAAATTTTTTTATAACCACCTAATTGTAAATGAGTGGGTATTCATGATTGCAAGGGCATCACTTATAGAGCGTACTTAGGTTCTTTGAAGCACATTCGTTCAATTTAAAAACGCCAATAAGTAAAAGAAGATAACAGTTTTAAAAATAGTTTGGATTTTAGTGTTTTTTTTACAAACGTTTTTGTTTTTATATTAATTATTATAAATAATATTAAATAAGAGTGCAGTATTGATAACTTTAATAAACAGTCACTTTTCTCTAGTTACTAAATTCTGAAGTATTTAAAAATTTACTTTAGTTTAAGACAATTGATATATTATGTATATAAAATTATTAGATATATTTATATTCAAATCCATATAAATTATAAAATTCATAAAAATAAATAATTGACTGTATATATTTACATATTGATATACAGTATTGTTAAATTTTGCAATAAAAGTGTTCAATTTATATGACTGAAGTAATATTTTATACGAATATATCTTATATCCGCAATAAAGAAAATATTATTGGAAAGGATATTTCCACTTAAATAAATACAGAAAAATAAAACTATATTTTATCATTTTTGATGACTGCATAAAATTTCCATTCAATAAGAATATACGAAATGCACGTTTTACTCGAATAAATTATCTGCAATATTGTATCTTTCATATTTGGTGAAAAGCTTGTAAATGCAACAATTTCGAAGTAATTGCAACAACAGACCCATAAATGATAATCCAATAAGCAAAAAATAAAAAAACCAAAAAATTTATTTAAATGTAAAAATACTTCTTGTAGTTATGCCATGGGAAGATACAAATGAAATATGAAAATTCGTAGATACACAAGTGTTGCAGACAATTGATTTTATATCTTTATTTAGGTTATGTTTCTGCGGTTTTCCCTGGGATTATGTAGGAAAATGCAGATTTCCAAAATTTTTGCACATATAAAATTATATTAAAGTAGAATAAAAGTTGAATAAAAATATAACAAAAATTATAACAAAAAAAGTAAAAAAAAAATATAAAAAATATATAAAAAAAATTCAAAAAATATAACAAAAAATGGGACAAAAGTAGGACAAAGAATTTTTTTGCTTAAATTAAATAAAGAATTTGTATAATTTAAGTTCACTTGAGTAGCAAAAAATTTGACACACATTTTGTTTTCGAAACGACTTGAGTGAGAATACAAACTTTTCTACTGAAGTTATTTTAAAGTTCAGATTTATAGCTTCTTCAAGATTATATAGAATGTACACGAACAAAAAAAGAGTAAAAAAAGAGCAACAAAAAAAATGAGTTAATAGTCCTTAAGGGATTTGCAGTCTGTGTTGTAAGAAGTTTATTCCAACGGACGAAAAGAGTAAAAACCGCAAACGTTGCACATTTGTAAGTACAAATAATGCCACACTTGGGAGATGGCCCGGATTAAGTATGCATTTGTGTTAAGTGCGCTTGAAATCGTTCGTTTACAGAGTGAGGAATGCACTACAATTGTGTGAAATATTTGCAGGATTGGTAAATGCGATATTTGAACAAAAATTGTGAAAACTGTATATTCAATTCGAATACAAATTATATAAAGTTAGGAACAGACATATATTTATTTCGGTTTAATGTGATTTTATATATACTGATTCCTTTAAGTTTCGTCCTTATTAAAGAAAGTGGCGTTTTTCACGTAATTGTGCAGGAAGCCCATTTTGTTTATCTAAAGGTAGTTCTTATTTTAATAAAACAATATCCTTTAAGTTTTTATAATTATACAGTATTTGCCTTTCTGTGCTAAAGCGAGCTGCAAAAAAGGCAGAGAACTACTGCGGAAATTTCTTTATAAATGGTGTTTTTACACTTTATTTTTTTTAGTCGTCTCCATTATCTTATGCAAAGAAACCAATGAAAATAAGTCAGGGGGAGTTCGAACAGTAATGAAGAAGCAAAAACAAAAATTTTATTAATTTTATTCAAATATGGCTGATCATACAACGTCGTTTCGAATATTGCCAAGTACTCAGCATCTGTGAACTTAAGAAATATTTGAATTTCTATTTAATTACTTCTATTTAATTTTAATTACTCGTAACTGTCAAATTTGAAACGATGATAAGTCATGTTTCCAGAACAGCATATGCATAGTTCAAGTAAAAAGTTTCTTATTACATTAAGATAAGAGTCATGGTCATACTTGAACTGACTGACAGTATATTTGTTCTAACGGTCGCAGTGAATCAGTTTCCAAACTCTAAAATGTGAACTTACTTTTTATCGACTTTATATTGGCAATACAATCGATAAAATATGTTTCAAAATGCGATAAAATATGAGTGTTTTCACGAAGTTGTCTAGCATATTGTATAGTCTTTAATGTAACAACGAAAAGGCATTATAGGATCGAAAAGGCAGTATACAATCTTTTGGAATAGTAATAAACGAACATCGTAAAATAGTTGTGATGTATTTTCAGAAATCTTTCGTTTAAGTTATTTATCCTATCAATCAATAAAACTCACCAACTCTTAAAATAATAAAGTTCAGTAAGCTGTAATGAATGTTCGTGAGAAATGGTTGTACTGGGAGAAAGTCTACAAATGTTAAAAAGGTATGGTCAGCAAGAAATCAATCAATTTAATTTTCCCTTGATGCACACATAGAGCAAAATAAATTCTAAGCCCAATAAGCTCTTTCTAAACTCCACACAAATCTTTGAAATATTCCAATGCACCTTTGCATTAAATACACAAGGATCTTTCGGAAAGGTAAGCAACCAGACCGTTTGAATATTTATCTCGTTTTTAATGACGAAAGATGAACTGTATCCATCACCTTTTCCATTAATAAGAAATAACGTTTGGAAACATTATTCTAAGGTTAATATTGAAATTTTATATTAAATTTCAAATTGTCTTCATTAATAATTAAATTGATTCCGTCTATTGTCCAACTTGAGAATCATTGCTCTATACGAATAGATGAACATGGTCCGATAGTTAGGTGAATTGTTACACAAAAAATGTATTATTCTACGAGTATTTCAGTTCATTTTTGTGAACAATCATCCGTTTTGAATATACATGGCGGCCAATGCGGTCTGGACATAGTTCCAAAGAAATATTGTGGCTAAAAAATAGAATGTAAAGAAAATTGAGTTATAAACTCGGCTATCAATGATGGAAATATTTTTATCGAATTCAGTGGAATTGTAAAAATAATTTCAAAAAGATATTTTAAATTCATAAATTTCTTCGATATTGAAAATAATCCCAATAATATTAAATTATTATACCATATATTGTAACAAGATATATATTTAAGTAATCAATCAATTCATCCATTACTGGGATTTTAATTACACTTACTGCATAATTTATATAATTGCATTTTCTGATATTATTTTATTTTCGAAAATATTAATAATTGCATTTAAAAATACAATTGTTCGTCAAATGAAGTTACGTCCACCTTTTTCGTCACGTGTATACATTAAATATTAATAATTAAAATTTTATATTATCCTACGTGAACTTTGATAATTTAAAAATGTTTTCATTCAATTTGCAGTATAATTTCTGCTTGAAGAGCTTAAATCCTTAAAATAATGAGTTTTTCTTAACAGATTTATGAAATTCAATACTGAATACTAAATTTATTTCCTGACTTCACTTGAATGGTTACATTGTGAATAAATTATGAGAATAACTTGTACTGTTTAAATAATTCAAATACAATGTTGTTTAAATTGAACGAATGTCTTTAGGTCGAGAGATACTTAAGATAAAATTCTTCTCAAATAGATTGTTAAATTAAGGTAAATTATTCTCAAATTGCATTCCGTAAAACAAAGGAAATTAATTTGTCCTTAAGTATGTTTCTCTTTTATGAGATACTCGTATTGAATTTTACAATGTTGTTCCGTGGTTTCATACAATATTTTCAAAGAACGAATTTTTAACTTAACATAATGAAAGTTAAGAATTGTTTTAAGTAAATATGTAATACAGATGTTAGTAAGTTTAAACAGAAAGGCATTCGTTGTGACAGGGTTTCTCAAGAGTCAAGAAGCATTTATCAAATTTATGTATTACAACGGACGATAGTTGCAGACTTTATCACGAAGTATAGGATAGTCTGTGTCACTGTGATAGTCTCGCTAGAGT